CTGTTTTAGAATTTTGAAAAACTGTCAACAGTCAATAATGACTTCACTAAAAGACGCAATCTTTTTTTCATTTACAAAAGTTGGGAAACTGAAAAATAATTGGTTGAATTGTTAATAATAAACCATAAAGCTTTTGGGGTTTTTCTGTATGTTAGCTTGTATTTTTGAAAAGAATAAATTCAGCCTTTAACCGCCTGAGATTACCTTACCAAGAAAATAATCCTGTTAACTAAATTTTATTTAGCAATATTATAAGCTCAATACATTAACCACAAATGGAAACTCAGATATGTTTGTCTGTTATTTTTATAAAAACAGAGATTACATTACTACAACTCATAATAATGAGTTGTAGAGATTATATGAGAAACAGTACTCGTCGAATATTTTTAGCTAGAGTATAGAGTTTAGAAAATTATTTACTTTTTAAACTAATGTGACATTACCTCACACACAAAAAATAGATAAAAATACATATATTTTTAAATGCAGGGCCGACGACACGGGTTTTAAATTGGGGGGGGGGGGGCTTAATCATCAATTTGTGAAAAAAGTCCTCTATATTAAGATTTTTCTTTAAAAAATATATATATTTGAAATATATATTTATAACTAAATGCAGTTAGCCTAAAAAATAAAATAAAATATTTTTGTTGTAGTTGTTCATGAAGAAAATCATAACATTGTTATGATTTTCTTCATGAACAACTACAACATTGTTATGATTTTCTTCATGAACAACTACAACAAAAAATTTTTTTGTTGAAAAAAACTCAAAGAAACCAGGTCTTAAATCAATTTGCACACTGTTATTAACAGTGTGCAAATTGCTTTATAACCTTGTTTCTAATTGTAAAAATAAAATAAAAAATCAAGCACAGGAATGGAAACCTAAAACTATCTAATAAATTATTATTAATATTAAAAGTTGAATCAAATTACCATTAAAACATGTTTCAACAAACGTGTTGTTAAAAAACTTGTCATTCACCAATTATATATATTTTTGACTTGAACTAGAAAGTTTTAATTTTAAATCCTAGATTAAATAAAACTGTACGCGGCTAAAACGCGTTTCAATATTGAAATAAATTTTAATCGTTTCAACGAAAGCTTGAAAAAAGTCTTTACTTTTTTGCGACAATAACTTTAATTAAAAAAATTAAAAAACATTAAAACAACTTTTGAAAAACAGCTGTATGCTGTTTTTGATTTTTATTTAATAGTTTTACTGTTACTGTTAAACAGTATTTAGAAAACCTATCAGTAACATCTGCTGAGTTGTGAAAAACAGCAATTAATCTAAATTATTATTTGCTGCAATTCTAAAGGCTCATTCTTACAATTTGCATGCATAATAAATAAAAAAAAGTTAGAAAAATTAGCAGGTGATGTTGCTAGTGATAATTTTTTTTATTTACTAAAAGCCATTTTTGTATATCAAAAGTCATTTTTCTGCAAACGATCTTCAAAATGACATAAAATTTTTGTTGTTGTTGCTGTTTTCAATGTGCTCAACGAAGGACCTTAAGGTCTTATCACATAGCGCGGAGGAGCATTTAAGTAGAGAAAATTCACGCCTCTATCTAGACCAATGTCGTTTTTCTGGCAAGAGCCTGTATTGACCTTTGGGTTCTTATTAAGTCATACAATTTATTACCATGTTAATTAGTTAGTTTTATTTCGTCAATATGCACACATTTTACAATGTTATCCTTAAGTTTTAACAAATGTATATAACTACAATCTAACTACAATGCAAAAAGACATTCTTAAACTAAAAATGATAATTTAAAAATTAAAAATAAAAGAATCGATAGACTGTTGAAAGAATTGTTGAGGAACTTTACGGAAGTTTGAGTTACCGGTTCTGCCTTCTCATTCTCAGAGTGTTCAAAGAGCTTATTTGGCGCCATTGGCATATTGTTGCTCAAATTCACTCTCACGTTAAAGTAGGAAACTATCATCTTGTAACTACCCAAAATTATACGTTTTACTCTTCCAACTTCCTCTCTGTTGCAAATGTTCATCTGGTTTCCTTTTTTTTAAAGTTTTGAATAGATTTGACTAAAACTTTCAGTCCTTTTAAGGCAACATCAACAGACATTCTCTTTGAAGGCGACATCAACAGACATCTTTAATAGTAGAACAGACATACTCTTTGATTGAAGACGACATCAACAGACGTACTCTTTGATTGAAGGCATCATCAACAGACATACTTTTTGATTAAAGGCGACATCAACAGACATACTCTTTGATTGAAGACGATATCAACAGACGTACTCTTTGATTGAAGGCAACATCGACAGGCATACTCTTTGATTGAAGGCGACATCAACAGACATACTCTTTGATTGAAGGCGACCTTAACAGACATACTCTTTGATTAAAGGCGACATCAACAGACATCTTTGATTGAAAAGTTTTCTCCGTCCATTAATATTACAATCTTGCACCATATATCCAGCTAGCAGATAAACTCAAAATCAATTTTAATAAAAAGATCTTTTGCACCAGATGCTGTGTCTGTATTTAAACTGGAATCTTCATTAATATTTGGAAAAACCTCGTAGATTTTGTCAATTTGATTGTACAAAAGAACAAACAGCTTCTTTCTTTCATTTTGTATCACTGTGACCGTTTAATGAGATGGTAATATTTGTTAATAGTTTATCCCATCTAATAGCTGAGCTTGAAAAATAGCTGTACGCTTTTTGTACTCTGCTAAAAAATATTACCATCAGTGGAGATACTTCAGCTGCATGAACAAGATTCAATGTGTGAGCAGCACAGGGAACAAAGGTGGCAAGATCTTTCAAGGTTATTATTTGGGCTTGAACTCCATTGCACCTCCCATATATATTAGCTCCATTGTCATGACCCTGTCCTCTCCCAGGAAAAAAAGTTCTATAGAATTTCCACAAAATTTTGAAAATTTCTATAGAATTTCTGTTAATTTATATAGAAATTTCTATAAAACTTTTTTTTCTACTTTTTTTTCAATGAAAAAAAAAGATTTATAGCAATTTCTATAGAAATTAATAGACATTCTATAGAAATTCTATAGAAATTCTATACAGTTTCTATAGGCCAAATGTTTCAAAAGTTTATAGAAGTTCTATAGAACTTTTTTTTCTGTGCTACAATCTTCAATTTTCAAACCACCGTCTTTCAATTTTTCAGTGATCTCTGAAGCAATTCCAATTCCAGATTTTTGATGGCTCTCATTGAAACTTAATTTAAAACTAAAAAAGTTTAATTTTTTTTGCAATGATATCTTTATGCCGTATAAGCATACCATTGCAAAAAAAATAAACCGTCAAAAGAAACCTAAATTTTCTTCGAAGGGTTTATATTGTCAAAAGTATGATGACGTCGTGATATTGGGTATATTTTAAGAAGAACCTTTGTGAACCTTTAGGGATCGTCCATAAATTACGTAACGCAGAACATTCTAAAAAAGCAAAAGTAGGAGATATTAAGCTTTTTTACGCGGCGATTTTCATTAAACTTAATCGGCTATTTTAATTTTTTTTTTTTTTTTAATTAAGACTTTGCAAGGGAAAACTTTTTTATTTTTTTTATTGTGAAAGTTTGCGTTACTTAATTTATGGACGATATCTTATAATACAAAACACTCTAAAAATTTAAAAAGTACATTTACAAAAAACGTATTACTGTTCAGTAATATTTTACTGTGTATAGTGGTTAACTTTATTTATTAGTTGCCATTGAAACTTTTTTTGATGCATAGCTTTGATAATTAACTTCTATTTTCATATTTTTTTTATTAACCCTCATATTAGCTTTTATAATAAAGCTAAACCTAATTTCCTCAAATAGTGGCTATCAAAAAAACCTTTATATTTTGTTTTTTTGTTAGTTTGCATCCGTCTCAACGTGTCCAACGTTAAAATCTAAAAAAAAAGTTCAATATCAATCTACCCTACCTACCAGACTCTTTTTACCTATATCCAGCATAGTCCGCCGCTACACAGTTGAGTATTTGACGGAAAAAGTTGATCCAAAATATTTCACTGAAATTACCGCACCAACAAAAAAAGTTTATTAAGTTTCCGCAAAAAAAAATTTTTTTATAAAGTGAAATATTTTTAAAATATATATTTAACAAATATATTTGTAAATAAAAAAAAGTATATTTATAAATATAATAATATATATATATATATATATATATATATATATATATATATATATAAATATTAATATATATATATATATATATCTATATATATATATATATATATATATATATATATATATATATATATATATATATATATATATATATATATATATATATATATATATATATATATATATATATATATATATATATATATATATATAGTTATATTTCAAATATAAATATATAAATGGAAAACTAAAGTCATGGTTATTGTAAAACAAAGTGTTAAAATTATATGTTGTTAGTAGCTTTACATTAAAAATACTTTGTTTAAATTTCACCACCGTTTCCCAAGATGATTTTTTAAATATCTATTTTTAAAATATTTCACTTTAAAAAAAAAAATGTTTTGCGGAAACTTTAGAGGTTTTTTTGTTTTTGCTGAAACTTCAGTGAAATATTTTTGATCGACTTTTTCGGTCAAATACTCCACTGTGCGCTGCGGAGCCAAGGCTTTTAGAGAGGCCAGCCACCCAGGAAAAAAGTCCTATAGAATTTTCTATAAACTTTTGAAATATATGGCCTATATAAATTCTATAGAATTTCTATAGAGTTTCAGTTAACTTCATGAAAATTCCTATTGAAATTTTTTTTTCTACTTTATTTTTATAGAAAAAAAGGTTTTATAGCAATTTCTATAGAAATTTATAGACATTCTATAGAAATTCTATAGAGTTTCTATAGGCCATATATTTCAAAAGTTTATAGAAAATTCTATAGAACTTTTTGTCCTGGGCAGCCAGAGATTAAATTTTTTTTTTTAAATTAAGTAAATAAAAAAACTATTTTGATACTATTTCATATCTTGATCTACTTTTTTAGAATAAAAAAATAAAATACAAAAAGAACATCACAATAAATTTTTTTTTAATGCATGTTGGAACAACAAAATTCGTAATTTTTCAAATTCCAAATTTGAATTATTTGTATATATAAATTACGCGTTTAAACTTTATGGTGGCCTTAAAAAAAGCTGAATAATGACAAAACTTATAAGCCAAACCAAAGAGATAGTAGATAGATAGTAGATAGAGATAGTAGTAGAAGATAGTAGATACTTCTCAAAAAATAGAAGCTCGAAACATACGTCATGATATAAAAACGTGAACAGCGGCTTTCAGCTGCTGAAATTGGTATAAAAGTGGCAAATTAATTGTATAGCTCTCTGTCTATTTTTAGAAAGGAGGGTGTATCAAGTTTTGAAAAATTTGAAAGAGAAACTATGGTATTAGTGGGTATTACCCTAGAAGGCAGTAGGATATAGGTAGTTAGTACTGAGTTACTTGGTTTAAATTTACTTACTTAGCTAACTTTTAAACAAAGTAAATAACGAAAATCTCTTTAGATTTTAATTGGTTTGGGTAAAATGTAATGAGCAATTTATTTTTAATTTATCAAACATTTTAAAAGCTTTAGGAAGTTTTGAAGATTTAAGTTTGAAAAGACTTGAAATTGAAAAGTTTGAATAAAGTTTAAAACGACATAGCAGAGCAATTAGTTTTTCCGAATTTCAACTTCTTTATTTTGGAAAGAATAGACGAAGTTAAAGATCATGTAAGACACTGCGATAAGTGTCAGAGGCGCGACAAATTTTACTTCCTCCATTACAACGCCCGTCATCACTTTAAAAATATAATGCGGAAAAATTATTATAGCTTGACTGGGTTGCCTCCTATGACCAACTCAGCGCCAACAGCTTTCTGACCACTAACCAACAACTTGCACAATGTAAGGTTTAAAGACAAAAAGACACTTCAGCAACAATTAGATTTTTGGTTTAAAACGTAAAACCTTTTTGACTAACTATTCTCTTTTTTTATAACGTGGTAAAAGTTTGACCTATAAAGATTTTTATCATAGTTCAACTTTTTAAATTTTTGGTCCGGAAATAAAAGCAAGACATTTGAGAAATTTATTCCATATATTTGTTTTCATAACGCCATATGACAATGGCGTTATGAAAACAAATTGTAACTGAAGAAATTTATAAAAAATATGCCTAATTTTAAGAAAAAGAGGAAAATTTCAAACTAATTTAAGAATTTTATATCATTATAATGATAATGGGTATACCCAGAAAAAAAAGTTCTATAGAATTTCTATAAATTTTTGAAACAATTGGCCTATAAAAATTTTGTAGAATTTCAATAGGCCAAATGAAATTCTATAGAAAGTTTATAGCAATTCTATAGAACTTTTTTTACTTGGTATACTTTTCTAAAATACTTTTTGCAAGATTTTAAAATTGATACCAAAAAACTATGAAATTTCGTGCAAAACTATTTTTATACAAAATATCAATAATAAAAAAAATGTTTATGCAAAATAAATTTGAGTAAATTAAAATTTGTAACTACAACACCAGTGATAACATGTATATATATATATATATATATATATATGAAATAATAATTGTCCCTATGATGTGCTGATTTCTGACATTACTCAATGAATGCATTGACAAGTTAAGTTAAATCTTACAGTGGATATGCTGGTTGTTGTTGCGTTACGCAATGAATCATTCCACCATTTTTATATAAATTTCTTATGTCGATACCAATTATTTGTCTCTCAGGATATAGCCTTTGAATAATCTCATTTGCATTGTCGTCATTGGGATCTTCATAGTTAGGAACTAAGACTACTCCATTAGCAATATAGTAATTGATATAGCTGCCTTTGTACCCAAGACTCACTCCGTCTGTAGTATTCACATTATACTTTGACAAAGGCAAGTAAACTTTATCATATACTTTGTTATCTGCATTTGAGGCAAGATATAGAGTGTTGATATCTTTTTTGGAAACTCCCCATTCAAGTAAATCTTTCATACTCATTGTTACTAGTTTGTTTCCTGGTGCAAACTTGGCAATCCCATCAATGTGCATGTCTGTGATATCCCCTTCTGGAAATCCTCCATCTAACCAAATGAACTTTGAAGCACCGTAATAATGTGAAAAGTAAATTTCTGCTTGCGATTGAGTCATTCCAGGGTTTCTAACTGAATTGACAGGTTTCTGGCTAATTATGGCACTTCGAGTTGCTAGTAAAACTCCGTTTCCATCAATCTCAACAGCTCCTCCTTCATTTGCCATCCCGACATTTACGACTTTCATGTTAATGTTTTTACCTATTAAAGTTGGAATTGCATCGTCGTTTTTATAATTTGTTTTTCCACCCCATCCATTAAATTTCCAATCTTGAATAACTAAACGTCCGAAACTATCTTTTGCAAAAATTGGTCCGTTGTCTCTTACCCAAACATCATTTGTTTTATAGATCTTAAAATCCACATTAGTCAATTGTAATCCTTTTTTTTCAAGTAACTCTTTTATTCTTTCAACTTCTTCTTTGTCATAAGCAATTATATGAACTTTTTCATTTACGCAAAGTGCTTTTGTCATTTGCACCCAAATATCATCCAAACTTTCTCTATACTCGATCCCGTACTCGAATTCATGTGGCCATTGTAGCCACGTTCCTTCGTGTTCTTCACTTTCATCCGGAAAAGTAAATGCTCCTAAATCACCTAAAAATCAATAATGCGCAGTATTTAATAACAAATTATACAACGGTACTATACAATTTGCATCACTAAGAGTAGGTTTATATATATATATATATATATATATATATATATATATATATATATATATATATATATATATATATATATATATATATATATATATATACACACATATGCACTATAAAGATAACAATTTTTATACTAAGAATAGGTTTATATATATATATATATAATATATATATATATAATATATATATATATATATATATATATATATATATATATATATATATATATATATATAAATATATATATATATATACACACACATATGCACTATAACGTATAAAGATAACAAATTTTTATCTTCTATATTAATTATACTGTGGCATATATATTTCATTTTTGCATTAGTTATTAATATTTTTCTTTTAGTTAGCGTTATTATTAGTCTATGGGTGAGTTTCCACTCACCCATTTTTCTACAGGAACGGGATAGTTTGTTTTCCTTCGGACAAATTAAAGCTTTTACTAAGCATGCCCACGCGATTATTTTTCGCTTTTCTTTCCCGTTCCAGTGAAAAAACTAGTGAGTGGAAACTCAACTTAACTTACAATAAAAGCAGCAATTTTTAAATAAAATGTTGAGTACAAATGATTTCTATTGGTAGCGGCCTAAACTATTTATTTCTTAGCAAAAGCAATTGCTTATGAGCAAAGCAAAACTTTATTTATTTTTGAATTGCTTTTGCTGTGAGCATTTAATTTTTAGCATTCACATTTATTATGAGCAACTGTTTGTGAGTTATTGCTTTTTATTCACTCAACCTAAAAATTATAATTTTTTTAAAATTTTTAATTTTTAATTTTTATGTTATTTTATCACAACTCTTAAAGATAAAATTAAAACATTAATTTATAAATATAAATAGCTAAAAGTTAAACAAATAAAGTTACGTTTTGTGTCCATGTTTGAATTTTGCGAATAACGTTTTGAGTTCATTATGAATTTTGTTTTTTGTATTACGTTTTGTATCCATCTTGGAATTTTGTTTTGTGTATTATATAAGGGAAGGTTAATAATATTAAAAAAGAATAATAATAATAAAAAAAATCAAGATGTGAACTGAGAATAGTAGAAAATGATTTTTTAAACATAGATCCAATTTTTTTCTAATTTCCAAAGATAGATCGAACTTTTTCCGTTTACAAAACAAAAATATATAACTTTTTAAAAAAGGCAAATGTATTTTAACAACTATTAATGAAGTAAATGTATAAAAATGAATTCACGAAAGAATTCATTAAAGTAAATATACGAAAGTCAGCATTTTTCATATAACTTTAGCTTAATTTTGTTAAATTCTTTAAAAAAATATTATCGAATCAACGTAGAGAGTTTGTAAACAGATCAAATGATTTTCTTTATTTCGAATCGAACCAACGGAAAAGGTGAAACAACAAAAAAGTTAATACTCCTGTCTATTATAGGGTAGATTAGGTAGTATGAGCAACTTAAGCGTAGTTAATAGGGTATATATATAATACCTAATAGGGTAGGTTAAGGTAGTATGAGCACCTTAAGCGAAAATTGGATTATTTTCAATAATACTTATGCTGGATCCAAAATATTTGCGAATAAACAATTTTAGGGATCCCTTCTCATTATCCACTTAGATATTTGCACACCCGAAATTTTTTCTTAAAACAACAAGGGTTTTAAAACAAGTAGCAAAAGCGTTTATATTACTCATACCAATAGGTAATACAAGCACTTTAAATTAACTCAAAAAAATAAAATTAATAAAGTTAAAAAATGCCTTTGTTAAAAAAATGTTAAAAAAAAAAAAAAATGCACCAGAAACAGTTGTAAAACATATATATTGGAGAAACAGTTGTAAAACTTATATATTGTAACAATAATATATAAATCGGAGATAATGTAATATTATAAAGTTGTAAATATTTATTATTTTGAAATAAATTAAAAAAAAAAAAAAAATTATAAAAAAATAAATAAATAAAAAATGCCAACCTGAAAATTAGAACTCATTTCTGGAATATAATAACAAAACTTATCATTAAAAGATCAAATTTTAAGCCACTTTTTGTTGAAACAATTCTACTATGTTTTCCGCAACAAAACAAAAAAAATTAGTTTGTTATTTTTTCAATTTTATTATTTCAAGATAAAAATAAAAATTTTTTGAATTCAAATTGCAGAAAAAATATTTATTAAAGTTTTTTACTATGTTTAGTTTTTATTCAAAAAGCAATTAAAACCACTGCTATTTTAGGAATTTTAACTAGGTAAATTCAATGAAAAACACTGGGTAATTAAAGCAAGCTTATATTACACAAAGATAACATCCTTAAATAAAGCCAAAACTAAATACTTTTATGCATTGTTTTTTTTAAATAAAAATGGTTTTGTTTTTAGTTAACATATTTTTCTTCATATAAAAGTAATAATGACATTATTTTAGCACCAAAATTTCGCGCCACAGATTTATTCATGCGTGATGTTATTATTTAACAACGCAAAAAATTTAAAAGAGTTTTAATCAGATGATAGCCGCTATGTAGTCACGTTAATTGTACTGATTCCTGATATCACCATATGAAGTCAATTCAAAAAATAAAAAGCAACTTTAACTTCACTGCTTCCATCTAAGAAATCTTTAAGTATGCTCATATTACCTGGGTGCTCATAATACCCTAATCTACACTATCTAACATGACCCAAAGTCAGTTAAAGTGTGTTATTAGCAGGCCTGTACAAAGATTTTGCGGTGCAAAGGTATAAATTAAAAAAAATTGCAAGTCATTTTTACCTATTATTTTAGTACGGAATTTTTCTTGTAAAACAAATTGTGAATATGGAATAAAAACTTCAAAAAAAAAAAAATAGTATTATTAAGTCAAATTGAAGATTACTAATGTATGGTTATTACTTAAAAGTAATTGTTAATTGCTATTAATTGATGGCATACAGAATATAACTAATAAACTTATAAAATTTTTTACTTAACAACTGCAAAAGAATACAAATATTTTTCAAACCACCTAATAAATTCTTATTTTTCCTAATTTATCCTAATTTATCCTAGTTTATTCTAATTTATCCTAATTTATTGAGTAATAGTTTATTTCTTATGTTTATTTCGAAAATAGTCAACTTATTTTTTACATAAGCATAAAAAAACTATGTATAAAACAATAACTTGCAATTGAGAAAATAGCTTGTCTGGAAGTTATCAAGGAAGTTTAAATGCTGAATTTGAGAGCTTATGCAATAAAAGCATTATAGAAAATTTGACAGACTTTAAAACGGTGCACCCAAAACTCGTTTAATATTTATTTATCAGCCATTTTGCCTTCAGTTGTTGTAAAGAAGCAAATCTTGAAACGTGGTTAAGTCTTGTTTAAATATTTAGCCGAAGAAAATTGATAGCAGTAAAACTCTGTGTTATTTACCGACCCAGTGAGCACGACACGTTTTTTAAACATCTATTAAACGTTATTATTCAGTTTAAACCTAATAAAAACTTTCAAAAAACGTTTAAAAAACGTGCCAGGCCCGCTGGGGAGTTACGGATCCGTTGTTTTAAAGTCCTCTAAAAATTTAGTATTTTTTATAAAAAATTATGGTATATCTGACGGTGAAGAGATCTGTTGGCTTGCTTAGCCCCAACCTAACCTAAACTAAAGCCCAACCATAAACTTAAAAAAACATAAGTTATATTTCTTACACTCTGATGATCTTTTTTTGTTTGTTATTTTTGAACTTTTTCGAAACGAATGCGCAGCTGTCAAAATAACCAACGCAATGAACAGTTGCTGAATCTTCAAAACAGAAATCATTTTTTAAAATCTTATTTCTAAAAAGATTTTTAGATAAAATTTAAATAACAATGTATTAATAACATAATAAATTCAAATGGTTTCAAATCATAATAAAATCAAATCATAATAAAATCAAAATGGTTTATATGCAATAAGCTAACTCTTAACAGTAACAAAACAAAATGGATTCTCTTCCATCCAATCGCAAAAAAACCTTATTTACCCCAAAATTTACCAGAAATCTTTATTGATAATACTGTGATAAAAAGACACTATGTCACAAGGTTTTTGGGTGTTTTTCTTGATGAAAACATCACATGGAAAGCGCATATTGACTATATTAGCACAAAAATTTCTAAAAGCATTGGAATTTTATATAAATTGAGAACATATCTATGTAAAAAAGATTTAACCCAACTATACTACACATTTATTCATACCTATTTAAATTATGCAAATATTGCTTGGGGAAGCACAGAAAAAAGCAAATTAAAATGTCTTTACCGCCGTCAGAAGCATGCGATCCGTTTAATTAATTTTGCGGATCGATACACTCATTCCAAACCTTTTTTTATTGAAATGAAAATTCTTAATATTTACGAACTTAATGTGTTTAATGTTTTATGCTTTATGTATTTGTGGAAAAATGACTTATCCCTACCTATCTTTAAAGTTCTCTTTTGTGAAAAACCAATAAATAAATATACTCTTAGAAATAATAAATTTTTGCATAAACCTTTTTGTCGAACAAAGTTTAACCAGTATGGTATTGCTTATCGTGCGCCATATCTTTGGAATAAAGTTGTTTTGCCAAACTTTAATATATTTTACACTTTTCCAATTTTTAAACATTTAAATTTCAAAAATTTTATTTTATTTTCCGATGACATAATAAGGTTCTTCTAATTGTAATTATGTACCTTTATTTAGAACTTTTTTATTGTAAAATACGTTTTATGTTAATTGTAAAATACGTTATATGTAACGACTCTTTTTGTTTTACTTTTCTTTTTGTTTTACTTTTTATATGTAACGACTCTTTTTTTTTTACTTTTTATCTTTTTGTTTTACTATTTACTTTTACTGTTTATTTTATAAATAGATTATATACATTGAAAATAATTATGCTAAATGCTTGTAAAAGGTTCTGATGATAAGATCAGTACGATCTTCTTTCAGAAACCTTGTTTGTATTTGTTAAAGTATTGTATTACGACAAATGTAAACTTAAAATGTAAAAAAAAAAAAAAAAAATTAGAGATGTACCGGAATTCCGGCCGGAATTTGTGTCTATTTGATCAATTCGCTTCTGGCTGGAATTAAAACTTTTTTTTATTTTTTTTTTATGACATGTGGCATACTCTGTGTTAATAAATCAAAAAATCATTATCCTATAGAGCAATGAAGAATTATAGGTAAACCTAGGTAAAAAATACAAATGTAATTTTTGCTAATGTATTTGCAGTACTACTATTTCTGCAAATAAGACTACATTTGTATTTTTTACCTGGGTTTACCTACAGTTCTTGATTGCTCTGTAGGATAATGATTTTTTGATTTATTAACACAGCCTGTGTCACAAATTTTAATTCGAGCCAATATATTGATGTAAAAAAGTTAACAAAAGCCTGGAAGCTAACTTTAGAAGTAGAAGTCTAGAGGCTAAATTAAGATACAGAAGTCTGGAAGCTAAGCGTTTGGTTTTTTTATTTTTATAAGTTCCATTAAAATATTTTAAAAACTCAGAATACTTAACAATAGTTATTAATTAATAGTTATTATAAATTAATAGCCAATATAATAAAACAACAAATTAATATAATCAGAAAATATTTTAATAAATCTCTGAAAGTTCTTATTTTACAATATGTATTTAATCTTATATATGACAAGAGTTTATAATATTTAATTTTGATAGTAAATCAGTATTAACGAATTAATAATATATAAAATTATATTTTAACAGTTAATATAACGTCAGCCGAGAAGGAAGAGAATTTAATTTGTAAAATCTTTATGTAAAAATGTCCGACTAACTTTTTAAATGTTTTACAAGTTGTATTATTCTTGAGATTAGATTTATTGGACACACACACCCAATTAAATGTTGACTATTTATTGATTATAAACAGAAAAAACACAAAATGTGTACATGCAACTTGGTTCTCGGCTGACAATATGTCAAATAAAATATACAATAGCATAAAACATAATTATATCACCATCTTCACATTCTTCACAATAGTTACTCTTTTTTGATTATATATATATATATATATATATATATATATATATATATATTATTATTATTATTATTATTATTATTATTATTATTATTATTATTATTATTATTATTATTATTATTATTATTATTATTATTATTATTATTATTATTATTATTATTATTATTATTATTATTATTATTATATTATTATTATACTATTTTATATTAATTTAAAAAAACGCACCTTTTTTTGCTCATTAAAAAATCATTTATCAACAAGATTAGTATAAATATTGTTTAAATAAATAAGTTATCTTCTGTAAAAATAGATTTTTATAAAAAATATTAAAAACTCGTTTAAATATCAGGGATATATCCCGGCTTAATTATTTTAAATAATTATCAGGAAAATACTGGTTTAATGTAGACAAATAGGCGTACACATTAAACTTTGTTTACCAAATTTAAAATTACAATTTGTAATCAAAGAATAATATTCGTTAAAATTCGGTACCAAAAATAAATAAATTACTATTAATTATTCAGGTAATAAAAACATTAAAATTATATCATAACGCCTGTTCTTACTTATTACAACGCCCTGTAAGCTTTGACGTGCTTTTATTGAAAAGCATGCAAGTTACATTGCTTATTTCAATACTATTTCGATTGCTTATTTCTATAATAATTATTATTTCTATAATATTGCATTTAAAATATGTTTAGTTATTGCAACAATAATAATGCTTTTAATATTCTTATTTGAAGTTTCATATTTACTGTTTTTCAACTACACTTTTCATAATCATAAATATGTCTCAAAAATCATACAAATTAAATATTATTATTTAATTAAATATACTCCTTTTAGTTAATTTAAGATTAAGTACATTTCGGTTAAAACTTTTTTTATTATAAAAAAAAAAAAGTTTTTAATCAAAAAAACAATTTATTATATCTGTAATAAATCATGATATATTAGTAAACATACCCAGCTTTTTTTTTTTTAAAAAAAAAAAGAAAATTGAGTTATACTGTTAATTGATTTTTTGTATTGTACGGTTACTTGATTTTATTCTTTTTTTTTTCTTGATTTAGTTTAGAGTTGAAAGTTGCTTTTACTTTTAAATACGCCGAAGTATGAGTTCTAATTCCGATAAAGACGTTAATTGGATATGTACTTAGCGCATTCAGTTGTTTTAACTGCAGTTTTACTCGAGTAGGTTTGTCTTTATGAAATATTATCTAGCTTAATTTTTGACGTAAGTAGAAAGTATCCGATTAAAATTTGTTTTTTTGTCTTGCTTCAAGACATACTGCGCGGTTATTCAGATAATTTTATGGAAAAGTTTGCAGTTTTAATTGTGAAAAAAGTGTATTCATTAACTTTCGTGCCGTTTAAAAATAAGATATATTTTATCCAATGTCATTTTACCCAGTATCTCTGACAGATGGTTTATTGCTCCTGCTACCGCTACACTAGTATAATGCTACTCCTGCTAAAAAATGAAATACAGTGGTGGAAAAACATTGAGAAAAATACATTTTATCGAAACCAAATAATAATAATTTATATTATTATTGATTGGTTTCGATAAAATGTATTTTGATTTATAAAGTTATAATAATAGTTATATTTAAAAATTATAAGGCTTTTACTTTTCCATGAAACAACTTTGTTCAAAGTAGCGGGAAATTTACTGGAAAAAATAATAAAAATAAATGGCTAAATTAATTTCATATTAAAAAAAAAAAAAAAAAAAAATTCAATTTTTATGTAATAAGTAGTAAAATTAATGTTTATATAACAAAAATAATAAAACAAAAAAACAAATACTGAATTTTTTTTTTTTGCTAAGGGTTTATCTATTACTTCATACAACATTAACAATAAATAGTTAATAGTTACATAACCTTTATTTTTTTAACTTCAATTAATCTTTTGACCATGCTGTTGACAAATATATGGCATATTGATACCGAAATAGCGTATTATAATACTTTTACAGCCTCCAACAGATTCTTTTTGTTCAGAGGCTTTCATTTTGCTTCCTCATTTTTTACAACTTTCATAAGTTTTCTATAGAATTTAAATCTGACGATTGTACTGGTCAATCCTATTGTTTTATATTATTGTTTTGGAACCATCTCAAAGCAATTGAGTCCAAATGATTTTAGATCTTTGTTTTGCTGAAATATCCATAGTAATGTCATTTTATCTTCAGAATAAGGAAGCATTATTTTATCCTCAGTATAAAGAAGCATTATTTCTTAAAGTATATTAGTATAAATATCATCTATCATAGTGCCAGTTATTAAGAAAATAGGATCAATACCAGATGATGAGAAACATACCCTCACCATAATGCTTCAGCCAACAAACTTCACTGCTTTTTTAAGTGTTATATGGATCAAACTCTTTATTAGGTGGCCTGCGGACAAACTGCTTACCATTTAATCAAAATATAATAAATTTAAATTCTATCCATAAAACTGTGCCTCATTTCGTACTTGTCCACGCAGAATACTTATGACAAAACTCTTTTTGTTTTTATGTCTTTTTTTCAATAAAGTTACACTTCAAGGCAATCTTTAAAATAAATTTTTTTCAAATAAATGTTCTCTTATTGTATGCAAGGTTACATTTAACACTAAAAAATTTTTAGTTATGTTGCTGGAGATAAACGTATCCTTTTTACCTTCCCCAACAAGTTATTTAACTTCTAGTTTCCACACATATTTTTGTAGTTTAAGACCATTATAAACCATATATTTTTAACATATGAAACAGTCTCTCCTGCACATGTTTCGCATGTAAACAACAGGTCAGAATAATTTATAACAGATTTTATTATTTGACTAAATCTCTAATGTACTTATTTTAAAAATTGACATTAACTTAAAATATAATAAATCTGGGTAAGTTCGGTGTGCTAAAAAATTTAAAATTTTGTTAACTTTATTTTTTGTTTTGTTTTGTTTTGAACATATATCAAAAATG